TCCAGCACCGGCACCCCCAATGCCAGGACCTCCAACTCCAGCACCCCCAGAACTAGCACCTCAAGTGCCAGCACCTCCAACTCCAGCACCCCCATAACTAGCACCTCCAGTGCCAGCACCTCCAGCTCCAGCACCCCCAGAGCTAGCGCCACCTGTGCCAGCACCTCCAGCTCCAACACCAACAGAGTCCACCTGTCGCGGAAGTGCCGAAGGCTGCTGAGGGGACTGTGAGGAGGACTGCGAGGAGGGAGACGCTACCTGACGCGCGATCGAGGGTAGAGGGGTAGCGTGGGACACACCAAACGGGGCAGGACCAGGGGGGGGCGGGGGAACCGGAGGAGCAGGAGCCGGAGGAGGAGAGGGTGCAAAGAAAAGGGGGGGAGGGGGTACCGGGAGACCTCGACAGGGGTACCGGGTGTAGTAGGACACTGACTCGTCAAACCGGACGTCATGGGAGTCTAGGAACTGGTGGAGGGGCGGGTAGTAAAAGGACCAGTCGACCGAGGCTACCGGGAAACCAAGGAAGACACAGGGGACGGCGCGAGCCGAGAGCTTGTCCGCAGAGGTGTCGCGGACAAGCGCAACGCAACCCCAGACACGAAAAGCTGACCCAACACCAGGGGACCCGGTCCAAAGACTGGTCGGTGAAGCCTCTGGCCGCGAGACGCGCGGCTGGAGGTTCAGCTGGTGAGCGGCGTAGCGAACCGCGTAGGGCCACAGAAAATGGGGCGCACGGGCATGAATCATGGACGTGCGGGCGATGTCCATGACCAAGCCAATGCGGCGCTCAGCAACCCCATTCTGCTGTGGGGACTCCGGCAGCGTCCAGGACTGTACGATGCCCTGCTCGCCGCAGAATCCGGCAAGAATGCCTGAGCGAAACCCACCCCTATGGTCAGAGTGGAGACAGGAGATACGACGGCCACGAGTGCCATCAGTGGCTAGAAGCCACCGGATCAGCGTAGAAGTCACCACGGACTTCTTCGCGAGAGGAAATACCGTGGTGTACCTGGAGAAGTTGTCGACGACCACCAGAAAGTAGCGCTCCCTCTCAGGTCCCTGCGTAGGTGCAGGGCCCCAGACATCCAAGTGGAGTGTCTGGAAGGGAACAGTGGCCGGACGAAGGGAGGAGGAGTGCGAAGTGGCACAAAGACGGCCGGCGACGCAAGGAATGCACGGCGGCGCAGGAGAGGGAGGGAGCGACGGGAAGACGCGAGGGAGATCTGAAACAAGACGGTGACTAGCCATAGTGCGGAGGCGGGGGATCGACGGGTGGCCAAGACGGTGGTGCCACAAGACGGTCCGGTGGGTGAAAGACCGACACGAGCAAGACGCAGCAACTAGACCAGACACAGCAACCTGACCGGACACAGCAACCTGACCGGACACAGCAACCGGTGGGGACGCAGTAACCTGACCGGACTCTGCTACCAGGGGGGGACGAAGCAACCTGACCAGACACAGCTACCTGCAGGGGCGGAGTGTGCAGGACGAAGAGACCTGAGTGGGGCTCTCTGGTGAACGTTGCAAGAACTGCCCCGGTGGAAGAGTCCGTACAGATCGCAGTCCTCCCGTGCGCAGGAAAAGTGACTGTGATCCCCCGGTCCTGAAGGTATCCAACACTCACCAAGTTCCGAGAGAACGAGGGGATGTAGAGACCAGTTGGGCACGGGAACCAGAGGAGACAGCTGGGCACGGGAGAGTGGTCGAGCTGCGAGCAACTGCTGGTCCTGAAGTAGGATTAACCAGGGCAACAGGGACTGGAGCCGAAAGAGGTGTGACAGTGGTGTGGTCGTGGAAGAAGCACTGAGACGCGCCGGAGTCCAGCGTGAAGGAGAGCGACGCAACAGCAGTCGTCACGGCTGGGCTAGTGACTACACAAGCACCTACACTAAAAGCACAAGTACCGACACTAGCAACAGGCAAAGGTCCTGAGCTAGGTACACGTAAGCCAAGAGATCCGTACGTGACAGAATAAACAGCATCCATAGACATATCAAACACAGGGTAACCACTACGAAACAGACCGGGCCAGATCGGGGGAACCGACTCAGGCCCAAAACGCTCACGGTAAAGGTCGTCGAGGCGGCTGTAGCAGCGCTGTGTAGAGTGGTCAGGACGACAGCAGGTAGTGCCAGCACCAGGGCCGGTCAGGATCCGGTACTGGCAGGGGCCGACGTCGCGGCCACCGCGACGAGCCCCCCAACTGGCTGGGCCGCTGCTGCAGCCAACGCTACCCGAACCACCATGCCCCCACGGCTGCTGAGGGTGCCACAGCTGCTGAGGGCGGAGCTGCTGCTGAGGGCGCCCCTGCTGCTGCGGAAGCCACTGCTGAAATGGCCGCTGCTGCTGTCCCTGCTGCTGGACAACCCTGGTGGACTCCATGATAAAAGCTAGCAGGGTGCAGGAGCGGCAGGCTAGGAGCGACAGGAGCTAGGGACGGCTGCAGTGAAAAACGAGAACAACTAGGAGCGCCAGGTGAAACTAGGCGAGTAACTGCTGGAGCACGGAGCAAACTGAGCTAGAAGCGCCAGGTGAAACTAGGCGAGGAACGGCCGGAGCACGGAGCAAACTGAGCTAGGAGCGAGGAGCGAGAACGGCTGGAGCGAGAACGGCTGGAGCAAGAACGGCTGGAGCACAACTGGCTGGAGCTAGAAACGGCGAGCTAGGGCTGGCTGGAGGTAGGAACGGCCAGAGCTAGAGACCGTAAATGCAGCTGTCAGCTGCCGCTAGTAGAGCCACTGGCAGTGGAAAGTATGTGCGACAGTAGGGGCTGCAGTACTAACGGCTGCGGAATGGAGGCAACTGTGCAGGTCGTCCGGCAAGCAGGAACGCGGACGACAGTTGCAGGCCCCCACCATAAACCCTTTTTTTTCTTAGGGTTTAATATATTTATTTATTTTCTGGCGCTAAAGCGCTCCGGGACGCGCTGCCTGCAGGGTGTGCTGCCTGCGGGGCGCGCTACCCGCGGGGCGCGCTACCTGCGAGGCTGGGGCGATGGGCTAGGGCGCGGGCTGGGGCGACGGGCTAGGGCGCGGGCTGGGGCGACGGGTTAGGTCGCGGGCTGGGGCGACGGGCTAGGGCGCGGGCCTGGGCGACGGGCTAGGGGCGCGGAGGTCCGCGACGGCGCGGGCTAGGGGCGCGGAGGGCGCTAGGCGCGGAGGTGGAGGGCGCTAGGGCGCGGAGAGGGCGTGGAGGGCACAGAGGCTAAGGTGCGGAGGGCGCGGAGGGCGCGGAGGGCGCGGAGGTGCGCTAGAGAGGGCGCGGGCTAGGAAGTAACGAGGAACTAACCTACTCGTGATACCATCTCAAAGTAGGAAGGCAACGGAATAGTTTGACTAGAAAGGAGTTGGGGTACAAATAGGAAACCCTAACATGTTTGTACTCACTAAGGAGCACCTCACTACAGCCTATCACAAATATCAACATTTGACACCTGCTACGGAACTGGCGATCCACACGTAGCGCGTCCCTGCGATCACAAATGTCAGGGTGTATGCTTAGTCATTAAGTCCGCAATGGCCGACCACAACAAAATCGTTGTACACCTTGTTCAGCTTCGCTTACCGATTGGTGCCTGGGGCTAGCAGGGAGAAGGGTTGGTGAGTTAACGCGGCTTTGGGGCAATTAGTACAGGTGTATAGCTATGACATGCTCCGTAACTCGGTTCCGCCGGGGCGCTGAATTGCTTCAGGTGCGAATACTTCAGCGGTGATGCAGTTGTTGAGGGACTGGCGCGGGGGATGTTCGAGTCGCTGGAGCTAGAAGAGATCGTCCGTTGCGCGGACTCCAGGGGTGCGAGAGATAATGCGCGGACTTCGGCGGAATCTTCTTCAGGTATGTGCTCGGGTTCTGCTTGTCTTTCTTCCCCCACCGTTTCTTCTTAAGTCGCCGTTGACAGCATTAGCGAGAGTAAGGTGCGGTCGGGGATGACGGAGAGTGGAATGCTCGTTCCCGGAATGGTGTCTGGAACGAGGTCAGGTTCACGCTGCTCAGGGTCGGGGCCGTAGTCGATTTTTGTGTCTTATTAAAACTGCAATTGCACCTGTATCCAGGGTACCATGTCATCATTCAAGAGTTCCATATATTTTCTCACAATTTTGTAGTTTCAGTACACCTTAACAAGCCTAGGATGCAGTGCATACTACTACACTACCGGTATGCATGAAGAGACATCCTGCTACCACCTGCAGCAGTGACTGCTGCAGCGCAGGGATGGTGAGCAGCCAACAGCTCCACAAATCTGGAAAAGTTCAATCACCATAACTTGCTACTCCCACTCCTCAAGCCAAACATAACCCCCACATCCTCCTTCCCCCCTCAACCGCCTCATCAGATCTTGGTATAAGTGGGGATGATCACCCGATCCACCCCATGGGCAATGAACCATCGCCCCACATACAGGCCCGGGATGCGAATAGTGGTCCACTGGTCTGCCTTCAAGTACGGCCCTCTAGCAAACGACACAGCACTGTTGTTCCCCATCGGCGTCATCTTGAAGAGCGGCTGTCTCAGCTGCGTGCCTATCGCCGTCCGCAGCTTCACCTGCCTCATCTGCGGGAGGGTCATTCGGCGGCGCAGGATGTGGAACGCTGTGATGTTGTACAGTGTGGGGATGCTGCTGCTCTTAGCGGGGATTCTCTTAGCGAGGGCTTCTGCCTGCACGTTGTTGGGGATGAGGATGGACGCGTCTCGCAGCGCCGACAGATCGTACTTGGAGTTCACTGCAGGGGCAGGGCGGGGGGGGGGGTTGTGCAGGGGAAGGAGGCAAGGGAGGGGGCGGGTGGGGGGAATGGAGGGGGATGGAGAGCGGGAAAGAGGGGAGAAGGAAGGCACAGTGAGTAATTTCGGAAACAAAGAGGGGAAAGTGGGGCGTTGGGGGAAGGGGAGGGAACTTGGCCCAGACAAGATGGGAATGAGCACGAAACGGGCAACTTGGTTAGCGAAACAAAGAGGGATTCAAGGTACTTGGCCACGTAGTCGCTGGTGCAAGGGCTTACGTGCGAAGTTGATGTATTTGGTGGCGTCCTGCGCGTATCGCGAGTACTGCGGGTACCGCTTCACGATGCTCTTCGCCATGCTCTGCAGCTCCGCGCGCAGCTGCGCCTTCGTCGGCGGAGGAGGCTGCGCGCAGCTCGTCGGAACGCACGCCGCCGCCACGCACATGACTGCTACGAGGAGCAAGCCGCCTCCGAGTCGCGCCGCCATTTTCCGGTGATTGCCACGAGCTTCAGACACGTAACTGCGCCTTGCGGATGGTATCGCCCTTGAGAGTTAAGAGTGTAGTACACGCTGATCGTTGAGTTTGATCGCTGATCGCCCTAGAGAGACTAAAGAGGATAATCCTGAGATGGAGAGTATGGGCTGGTTGGAATTTCTGAGGGGCTCTATAACAGCTGGTATTATCGTTGTCGTTGGAATTGTTCGTCGAGCTGGGAGCTAGGACGTCGTCGTATTAGGCTGTTGCTAAACGGTTGTGATGTATGTAGGTTCTAACCAAGCCGTATTAATAGGCTCACGAGAGGTGCCGTGCTGGCCGGAGCGCTCCTGTCCGGATCGCTCCTGGCCAGATAGACCCTTCACAGCTCGCCCGTTCCATGTAACGCCCAAAGGCGCACACCGCGACGACTCGCCGCCATGGACACGCGAGGAAGCTGAGTCGCCGCCAGCAGCGGTGACATGCGGGGAAATCGCTGCGCCATTGTCGCCATATAGACGCCGTGCCGCGCCGATTCGGCGCGGAAGGGCTGGCTAGATAACGCGTCAACATATGGTGTGATCCTGACAGGAAGACGAGCGAACCGTCCTTTTTCTACATTTCATCCTGTGAGAATAGTCACGTGTGTGAGCGGGTGTGAATGTTCCTAGCCGACACCTCTAGTCGAGAGCATTTGTGAAAGTTCCGTTACTGCGGTCTAGAAGGTTTTGATCGCGTTACAAAACGGTTTGAACGTGTTTAGAGAGCTGACCAATGCCTCCGATCTTTTGGGGGCCGATCTCCATGCTAGGGTGAACCTTGATTGCGTTTGACGCGTGTGCGATGACGCCTGTGCGAAGACGCGTGTACGAGGATCCTGTGCGACGAAGCCTGTGCGATTCCGCGTGCACGACGACCTTTTTGCGAAACAGTGATTCGGTGCCACGAGGTGGGGGGGACGGTCAGTGGGACCAGTCGATCAACTGTATGCAGGTTCCGGGTGTACTCTCAAGTCATAGTGGTCCTTTTTATTCTCTTCCCATACCAAGTGCACAAAAACATCGGGCATGTCATGCATGTTCTATTTAGCAACCACGAAAAAAGGAGGATACCTGTGCCATATACTTGTGTATGTTACAACCCCATGGGGGAATTAGCAAGGATCTGGCTCAGGGTTGTTCGCGGGTAGTTTGCAGCGGAAGTGAGAATTGACGACACCTATCAGAGTGAATGCAAAATGGCATATGTGATTATAACCAAGAATTACAAAGATTTATATAAGTTTACAAGGGAATACGAAGCGACCTAGCTAGCCATCAACTAAGGGTTACATTCCCTTATCACAGCGAAACTTAACCGTGCGGCGCGGGAACCCGTTTTATCTCTCTAATGTATCTCCTGCGACGATCTCGATGCTTCAACTGCTTTCGACTCCTCCGGTCATCTCGACTCTTTGTCTTCATCCTCGGTAGTGCTTTGTCTCGGTTACGTACAGGAATGATGTGTTAACTCCTTATCATATCACCCCCCTTCATTCTTGGGAGTAGCAAGTTCTGACTCGCTAGACCATTCCGCTGAGGTTGGCGCAGTGTTGGTACTGCTGACGTGACAGTCGCTTCATGAGGAAGTCAACTGTCATGCCACCGATAAGACAGTACGTCAAGTTAACCTCCCCCTTATCAATTTCGTCCTTGACGAAGAAGTATCGCAGCACGATGTGCTTCGTGCGATTGACGAAACCAGGTTTGTTTGCGATCTTGATCGCGCTCTGGTTGTCACAGTGGAGGCAGAAGGTTGGTGACGTCGCAATTTTCTCCTCTTGCAGAAGCTCATGTAGATAGAACCCTTTGCGAACTGCAGCGGTGGCGGCGATGAATTCGTCTTCCGTCGACGACAGGGCAACCAGCTCTTGCTTCCGGGAATCCCAAGAGATTGGTCCCGTCGACTCAAGCCAGATGAGGAATCTGATTCTTGACCGTGGATGGTCAGGATTAGCGGCGTGATTGGCGTCTATGTAGTCCACGAGGTTGAATGACTGAGTCGGGATTGTTGAGTAGGAGAGACCAATGTTGGGTGTTGAGATGAAATAATGCAGAGCGCGCTGGAGATCCGGAAGGTTCTCAGCCACTGGCTTGCGAGAGTAATGGGCCAGTTGGCTCGTGATGTAGGAGAGGTTGGGCCTGCGGGTGTCTAAGGCGAAGAGCAAGGAACCCAGTTGTTGCTGGTAGGTGTGCAGACCTACCGGGGACCAGGGCTGTCGATTGGTTTGGAGCCAGAACTTAAGAGGCTGAGGTGCCCCAAAAGTTGCCCTGAAATTTACGGGCTGAGAGCAAACCTGGCACTTGAAATCAGGGCTACCAACCTTTTTGCACTTTCGCTAATGGAAAAAGCTACATCTCTTCGGAGAAAAGTTGCTTGGCGAACTACTAAGAGCCAGCTAGGCAATAGACTGAGGTACGCAACATGTCGATGGATTTGACGGGGATGGGAAAAGGAAGGAAGTAGGGGAAGTGGCTGGGAGGAGGTGGGGGGGCGGGTGAGGGAATGGGAGGGAGGGAGGTATTAGTATGGGACAATAAGGGCTAGCCGCGGGATCTGCACTTGAAATCCGGGTTAGGCCCACAACCAGCACTTTACGGGGACGGGCTGCCCTCAAAGCCAACCCTTTAAATTCGGAAGCTAGGCCAAATCCAACCCTTAATGTTCAGGGCATTAAGGGCATTTGCCCTTGAATCGTCAGCCCTGCCGGGGACATGTGTTTGTTGTCCGGTTTGTAGTTGGATCCAGGCGTGCGGTAGGGAGTTTAGAGTGGTGCAGGTGAGATGTTGGAACACTCCCCAAGTGTTTCCGCATACTTCGGAGCTGAGAGGTGAATAGCTTGTGGAGCGTAGGAGATATTACCGGTAAGTCCAAGGAACTGCCTCACGTCATGATTGGTGATGATGTCAACGTGGCTTCCTAGGTTCCCCTCGAACTGATCAAGCAAAGTGTTGCTCGTCCCTGTGTATAGTGGATCGTCGACATAGACAGTGAGGAGGACGTAGTTGCCATAGAAGTGCAGGCGGTACATCCATGGATCGTGGGGAAACTGAGAGAACCCAATTTCAATCAGGATTTTGTGCAGATGCTATTGGCAGAGTCGGGCGCCTGCTTGATCCCGTACAGCGACTTCTTCAATTGACAGACTCTTGAGTCCCCTTCCCTGTAGGTATGTGGATGCTCCACTTATATCACCGCATCTACCAATGCGTATAGGAACACATTTTTCACATCAATTTGTCGAAGTGGTAGGTGCCTGGCGGCGGCAATGGCGTGAACAATGCGCATAGAAGTGTGATGACTTACGAGGGCGAAGGTTTGGTCAAAGGCGATTCCATGGCGTTGGTCATAACCGCGTACGACTTAACGAGCCTTGAAGCACTCGATGGAACCATCGGCTGCGGTTTTCACGTGGAAGACCCATTTGCCCGACAACGCTCGTCTTCGTTTTATTGCGGCTCGATCGACAAGCACCCAGGTGTCGAGCAACTCTAACGCTCTCAGCTCCACGTCCATTGCAGCTCGCCACTTCTTGCTGTGGGGATTTGTCAAAGCTTGCCTCGGGTTTTCTGGCTCGATGACTCTTGGAGCTGTGGTTGTTGCGGTGTGAAGCCCGAGTAGTTGCAGCCTGGACACTGTAGTGTTCTGACGGTGCTTAGGGGTGAATTCCTGTATATCGTCATCGTCGCTTTTGGGCGCATGTGAGGCAGGTCGTGAAGGGTCTCTACCACGCGATGGTCCAGGTGGTGCTTCGTCATCGTCGTCGTTTTTGTCGCGGCGACGCGGATTAACCCCAAGATGTTCCCTGGGGGCATATTGGTCGAGGATTGCTGCGTTAGCCTTGTCTTCAGTGGTTGCGAAGCTGCGTCCGCCGTACGCGTACACTAGATCCGTGCCTGCTTGTTGGTCTGCGCGGAACTAGGCGAGGGTAAGCCTTCCGTAAAAAAGAACATCGCGCGCGGGTGCGATCTTGCTGCTTAGTAGGTCGAGGATGACCCATGCCTTGTACTCGTAACTAATGCCGAGATGAATTCCCCATCGCACGCGGCTTGTGAATTTCCTGGTGGTTGAGGTAGCGGGCCTGTACAGCACCATGCAACCCCACACGCGGTGCATTCTAGTGTCGCACTTCTTGCCCGTCCACTTCACGTGCGGCGACGAGTAGGTGGCAGGGAGCCTTGACTGCTTCAGGAGCGCGTGCACCTTCGTCATGAGCGTGCGATTCGTTCGTTCCACGACTCGTTGCTGCGGGTGCGCATATATTTGTGATAGTTATATGCTACACTGAGGTGCCCCTTAGAGGGTATAACGCTTCTATGTTTCCCTATTTGTACCACCAAACTGCCTAGTGCAGTCATTCCGCTGTTCACATTCTGAGATGGTATCATCTCTAACTAATTCCTAGGACCCTAGTTCCTTTCGTCCCGCAGTCCCTCCGATCTCCGCTCTAGCTCCGCGAGCATAGCTCCCTGCCTATTGGTTAGGATAGAGTGCTGCCGTGCGCTGCCTCATGCTGGCCTGCACTACCGTGCGCTGCCCTCCGCTTCCCCAAGCGCTGCTCCCGCGCTACCCCGCGCTGCCCCACGCTGCCGCGCACTGCCGCGCGCTGCTTTCTCCGCTGCCCCGTGCTGCCCCGTGCTTCCCCGCGGTGCCACGCGCGGCTCGACGCTGCCCTGCATTGCTGCGCGCTGCCATTCGCTGCCCCGTGCTCTGCTTCTTGCGCTGCCTCACGCTGCTCTGAGCACACAAGTGCATGCACAGGCGCACGCACATCCCCCCCGCGCACGCTGACGCTGCCACACAGCAGCCGCATGCACATGCACAGCTACGGTCGCGCGCGCATGCACAGCACAAGCCGCTCGCGCATACGCAACAGCAGCCGCACACGAATGTACAGCAGCGCGCGCACCCACAGCAGAGACCACGCGTGCACACGCGGCAGCAGCCGAGCCCGCGCAACCCCCCCCGCACC